ATTAATCAATAAAGTTAAAAAAGAAAAGGTTAACACTTTACAAATGGCTGTTTTAACCACATGAATAAATGTAATAATCTAACTGCAGTTAGAATGTTATGCAGTTTGGGGCGGCTGTGGCTCAGGAGGTGGAGCGGGTCGTCTCCTAACTGGAGGGTTCGATTCCCGGCTTGTCCAGTCCACATGTCGACGTGTCCTTGAGCAAGTCACTGAACTCCCAGTTGGTGATTACACTGAGTGTTTGTGAGTGCGAATCCAAGCAAGTAGTGTGAAAGCGCTTTGAGTGTGCTGCAATGCATAGAAAAGCGCTACACAAGTATAAGAGCGTTTAGCATTAGTTCATACACTGAGCTGGGGGTTTATTAGGGACACCTAGCTAGAACTAATGCAGCCTAATACAACAGTTGTCTATTAGAGTCAGTATCAGCCCGGTGTGTTGGACTCTCTGTGTGGATGTACAGTGTCCTTCTGTAAAGCAACGAGTAGACAAGTAAACAAGATGAGACTGAGAACAACAAGAGAAAATGTGCAAACAAGAAAAAACAATGTGTATGAGGAAAATAAATAGTAAAGTACTTATAGAAATATATCTACACGCAGTTTACACAGAGTTTTTCAGACAGATATATGCAAAGGTGTAATTACCTAGGGGGGTTGTTCTGATGAAGTGTTCATCAGAGTGACGGCCCAGGGGAAGAAACTGTCCTCATGTCTGGTTGTTTTGGCGTACAGTGACCTGTAGCGCCGTCCAGAGGGGAGGAGTTTGTGTCCAGGGTGTGAGGGGTCTGCAGAAATCTTCTCTGCCCTCCTTCTGACCCATGAGGTGTACAGGTCCTCCATGGAGGCCAGGCTGGCACCAATGGTTCCTCCTGAAGTCCACTGTCATCCCCACTGTTCTGAGCATGTTCAGCTCCAGGTTGTTGCGACCGCACCACAGGACCAGCCATTCAACCTCCCGTCTGTAGGCCGACTCATGACTGTCTCAGATGAGACCAATGACTGTTTGGTTGTTAACCTGTACTTGTGTGTTGGAGATTCTACAGGATTATAGATTGTAAGACGCATTGCTATGAGCCATTATGTCTGTTGATGAAGAAGTGAGCTGTGTTTAAATTTGAGTTCGTAGTGAGCAGCGGGCTCTACCAAGGCTGGTCACTGATTCTGTTTGTGATATACATGGAGAGAATCTACTACTCAGCCAAGGAATGGAGGGTGTACACTTTGGTAATCTCTGGGTTGTATCTGCTTTTTGTAAGCATGTAGTTCTGCTAGTTTCATTGGGCTATGACAATAGATAGTGATGCTAAGAGTGAGCTGTTTGTGTGTTTGCTCAGAGGTGACCGTAAGAGCGTAGCTTAAGGTTTTATTGCATCATAAAGTCATGGTGGAAGGGGAAAAAAAAGCATAAAAATGTTAATTTGCCAGTTTATGCTCCAACCCTTTCAGCCACGGGGCAGAATGCCTGGCGTCTTTAATCAGAGAGCACTGCATTGTTCAAAAGTCACTTGTAGTGCCAGGCCAGATGAAAGTTTCCACTGAAATGTACATGTATAGCTCTACACAATTTAGCTGCTTTCTGATCATTACCTCTACCAAGGGAGGTTTGTTTGTTTCACAGCATAACTCAAAAAGTAATGAGTTGATTTGGGTGAAGGTTTTTGGGGAGAGAGGGTACGGTCCATGGAACAGCTGGATTTTGGTGCTAATTCATATCATCGATTGGATGCAGGATTTTTATTTTATGGATTCTTCGCCACAGGTGCGCTTGACCGCTGTCCTGGCGTGATGCAGTTCATCTCAAATGAGCCCACGGAGAGGGCAGAAGAGGGCGGCTTGTGAGCAGTGAATAGCACCTGACACACCCACTGTTGCTGTTTGTGGTTAAAATGACAACCAGTGGGGTCATACCAGCTGTTTAACTAACGACTAACTTCTGCTGTTGACCGAAGATCATTTACGTAAACAGGCATCACACTAACTCCATTGAATGATCAGAGTGAACTGAGTATTTCTCAACTATCAGCTGATCTCACGTCTACGTACAATGAGAATGTAGCATATTCTGTGGGGTGGTGTTTACGCAAATAGTCATGAAGAGCCGTCATCTTTTACATTGTTTTACATAAGGACAAATCTTTCATTAGCATTTAGTTTCTTTATCCCAAAGTACTACCAGATGAGCAACGTCGACATCACCCATCTCTAGTGTGAGCGTGATGGGAGGCCCGAGACTCGCTGTACTGCAGAGCGATGCTCTGTGCACAGGCATCATCAGTGCAGCCACTGACATGTGACTTGTGGTTTAGCCAAGCGGAAAATTGCCAGCAGCTTGTTAATAGGATGCTGTTTAACCAGGGGAAGACTAGAAAAGAGGAGTGTCCATCAGTGTGTGTGTGTGAAGCTGAACTTCTCCGTGTAAGTTTTCAAATGTAAGATGAGTAAGTCAGAGAAACTGAAGTTATTGTTCACTGCTGATACCAGAGAGATGCCTTGTTGCAGAGGCAAGTAACAAAACAAACATAACATTATACAAATATTAACAGATGTAATAACAAATGTGGTTTAAAAGCAGTTAGGTTTTTTACTGCTTCAATAAATCAAGCCCCTGTAGACGACCATGCCTTCTCTGTAGCAGCAGTGAGCTACAACTAAATCTTTGCTGTTTAATTTTCAGAAACAAAGTCAGCTCAGAGAATGTTGTTCATTTTATTCAAGGCAAATCAATGAATATATGTACTTTATACAGCATATGAGGAGCACGTCTCTACAGATTCATAATGTAAACAATCTCTGAAGAGAAATGTATTCAGTTTAAAAGGAAGCCGTAGTCTTCTGTTTTAAACTATTTACATGAGTTAAAATATAATTTATAACATCAGATACTTCCGCTTCTATGAAACTAGATTTTAACAATTCAAAAATACTGAAATGCCTTTGTCTCCACATTCTCAACACATATGAAATCACACAGAGCAGAGGGGGGGGGGGGAACAAAAAAGGACATCCAAACTAAGTGCCTTATAAATAAAAAGAAACACAAAATAAAACAAACGTATGTAAAAATATAAAATCTCACTACCAGAATTTTGTTTTTACCAAAAACTACATTAAAAAATCATTTGTGAGTTTGATAGTATGATGTCAATAGACAATGAAATCAATCATGATGAAAAACAGTAAAAACGATGTATGCCCTTATGTCAAAATATTTTCTTCCACCAAAAAAACAAACAAAAAAACCTGCTCACATTTATCACGTTGACAGTCCCTACTATGCCTATTTGACATCACTGTTGCCATCAGGTTTGACAGATTACCCATTAGCTCGTGTATTATACAGCTGTTGATGTTGAAATGCGACACAACCATTGACGGGTCCTACAGGACGTGGAATCTGAATCAGGCCGGTGTTTGTTGCGGTAGGGCCAGTTTGATGGCGTAGCTAGTTGATACATTGTTTTCCCGGCTAAAGAAACAGTAAGCAACATAAAAACATAAGGATTGTTTTAGTGGGCCATGGCATCTGAAACATGACATCTAGAAAACAGAATGTGACACGGCCGCTTTTTCATGAGCCGTTATGAGCCACAATCTTTTTGTTAAAGTCGTCCTTATTGTTATTTGGTAAACTTGGTGATCAAGCTTGATGTTTCTTCTTGCCATTTGCCATTTTTCTGAGAGTGGAACGAAAGGTATTGCATTCTTTTTGGAAGTTTTATTTATATATTAACTTTTTTGGATTCAATGTCCATCAACCTAGGACCTAGACCACGTGGACAGTGATATTATGTTGAGATGAGTCAACATATTCTCAAAACACTGAGGAGAATGGTCAACATCAAAGTTTTCTATAAGAAAGTATATAATCATCTAGATATCTACACAAACACACAAATATATATTCATATATATGTATATACCTTCTTGTAATATGGCTATTGAAAAAAAGTTTTAATTACATCAGTAATTATTTCATAATAAACCACGTTAGATTGGAAAGGAGTTGAAACGGTAATAATAAAAGCCAGTGGTAGCTTCTTTTCCTCTCGATTGGTTTTTAAGGCTTGCCATGATGAAGAATGGGGTCGTTCTGATGTCATTCGCCTCCACAATAATGGAGGCGCCCTCACAGGCACAGCAGCAGCCACCGTAGAAATCCCACATCATGCTGCTGCCAGTCACGCCCTTGAACTCCACTTCTGTATTTTCTCTTATTCTGCTCGAGGTAAAACTACTTCTCGTCTCTGTTCCCTTCAGGTGACGGAGAAATGTTTTTATTTATTTGTAAATTGAGTTCACGGACCATTATACCATTCTGCGACTTGTTACTGATTTAATCCAACTGCTTCATTTTTGGGATGAGGTAAAGGCGCAGCAGTGAAAATGGGATTTCTACAGTGTGTGTCCCTCATCAATCAGACGGGGTCAAACCAGCAACAACTTTGTTTTCCTCTTTCTCACTCCCACATTCCATTACCAGAGTCATACATGTAGAATTATTACCTGATACTTTAGTACATGTACTGTAAGTGTCCACTGCATGTTAAGACTTAACAAACCTGTGCACCAACAAAATGTGGTAATAACAGTTAACTGCTTCCTTTGCATAAGGAGAAAATATTGTGAACATATTTCACTACGTTATTTGTGCAAGAGTATATTGATCGGTTTTTTTATACACGTTATTTGTGAAGCAGCTGACCACATTCTTCCTGTAGCTTTGTTTTTGTGTTTAACAGCAGTCTACCTGCAGTACAGTAGCCTATTGAATCGACGGCTCACAGACTACACGTTGTAGTTCACCAACCAACCACACACTGTACATCATTACCTTGGTTAATCAAAGGCTGTTTTAAAGAAAAGATTATTATGTATTGCATCTCAAATTTCTTTATAAGAAAAAGTTATCAAAAAATATTTAGTCATTTCATAAACAGCAAAGAAATGGAACTTTCTATAGTGATAGTCTAAAGGGATGTGTTTTTGTCTTTCTTTTACAGACGTTCTGGACTCGGTGTGAAGTCATTTCAACGTAAGTTTTTCCCTTAATTTTCCTCTGTACTGAGCAAACGTGAACTCATTGGAACAAAACTGACCATATCCTGTCTGACTAGCAATACAAACACACATACACACACACACACTTTATGTTTACAGTGAGGCATAGTGCTATATACATATTATATATTCATATACTATAATTTCTTTTTTTATTATGTAAAACAGCACATTTTCTCACTTTTTAGTAGTATACATACTAAGCACAAATTATCGTTCAGTTGTTTGTGATTAGTTTTGTTACAGTTCATTTTTCCTTTTTATAAAAGTTTACACCTTATTTCTCAATCAGTATGTATAGCACTAAATCTTTAGTTTTGGACATCAGTGAGCCTGGAAGACATCGTCCGGTCTTCTAGGCCACGTCACTTGCTGTTATTTAAAAAAAAAAAAGCACTGAATAAGGCGTCTTTGTACTTAGTGTGCGTTCCTAAAAAAGTCAAAGGAGAGTTGAGAGATGTAAACATTCAATTTTTTGTGTGTTACCAAGGAGCTGAGTAGCTAGAGAAAAGACGAGGAAGATGATGTTTTTGGGGGGGGGGCTTGAAACAAAGCCTTGGACCCACAGAGAGACAGAAAGTGATAGCTAGAGTCGGACTGTGTTTTACTGAAATTCCTGGGCAAGTAGAGGAGAAACAGATGTCAGGAGGAATGAAAACAAGACAATGAGGACAAGGAGAGAAGATTGGGAATCACCTCCACGCGTTCTCAAGGACCAACCAGCCATCACCTATTAACTCCTCCCAACCTCTCCTCGCTGACCCGTAAGCACCAGCAGTGTCTGACTCAAACACAAGACGAAGACAAAACACTAAGCTTCACAAGGACACATGGTCAAGACTCCAAGAAAGGAACAAGCTAAAATCCATGATGTGGCAAGCGGAGGACAAAGACAGAGATTATTACCATCTGGAGGGGCTTAGTGGTAGGAGTCGTAGTATAAAAAGTAAAGCAAAGCCCTATACGAACCTTAACCGCCCATTAGTTGGGAAAACCCTCACACAGAGAACATTTCTGATGAAAAACAATGTAAAGGACGAGGGGAGAGCATCCAGTAGAACGAGGAAATCAGAAGACAGGGATGGATGGATGTGAGGTAGAGATGCTCAGCTCATACAGTACCTCCCGGAGGAGAAATCCAATTCTCAGCTGATTGCTCTTTTCGTTAATCCCCATCCCTTGCACATTGGTGCCGGTTTTGTCGCCATGGGATTGGCAGACTTGGAGGCTCTCTCCCTTTTCCTAGCATATTGCTACTGGCTGCATCAGGAATGTAAATTAGGCACTAGCCAGACTGCACTTCAAGCTAGAATCAGTCACATGCAGTCAACCGGATGGCTAGGCAAGTCTACTTGTAAAGCACCAAAAAGCTCCACAATCTTTGGGCAAGCAGAAATGGGGAATTAAACAGTGATTACATTCAGATTCTTGAATACATTCCACTTGAACCAACAAATTCATCTGCCTGAACCGATCCACGGATGGACTGTGAGTAGACCAAACGGATACTTTTGACACTCATCAAGCTAACCCAATGTCCAGTTCTCTGCTATGACTGAACTTCATGTGAAAGAAGTCTGAATTGGGATGGTCTCGACAAAGTGCATGCGATAGATCCATCTACCATTCATCCAGTATGGTGTTATAGTGTCAGTGGCTACCATCTTTATTTCCCCATTTTAGTCCTGCTTGCAGTCCAAATGTAAACAGTAACTGTTGCATTGGCTGTGCCATTTGGGGGTGTCATTAGGCTGCAGCCTTTAGCGGACACATGTTCAGTGGGACCCTTTCAAAGATACAGGTACATCAAGACCCATTTAGATGTGGAAAAATTACTTGGAACCAACTGATGAAGCACAAAGTTATTTTGTAAAAACTGGCTGTGCATTTTCTGAACATTTGTCAGTGGCTCAAGGTTTGGATAACCAAGAAGAAAGGAGGCAGGCCACCAAAGAACTTCTCGTCAATTAACCACCTATATTTTTGCATCAAAGAGAATTACTCCTGGGACCAATGGGCCTCATTCACTGATTGTTCTTAATTTCTTTCTTCTTCGATGTGTTCTTATTTGGGATTTGTTCTTGGTTAAGAATGTACACACTTTATTTTAAAATTCTATTATCCTTATCCTATTAATTTCTTTAAATGTCTTGGATATTGCCGCCTGTCTTGAGGCCACATCTGTGCCAGCATTTGACCAAGTTGTTCTTGGTTGTCTAGGACCCCATCTGAGGTCAGACATGGGACAGTTGACGGGGACCTGGATGCACACATGGATGTACACTCAGTTGATGGTACACCTGAAAGAGCCAGGTATGGACTTGATGCACTGGCCCAGTTTAGATAACTCTGAGCAAGCCTGTCCCCCTGCGCCATTTGTTTTTATGCCTCTGTGTCAGTAATAGCCATGACTTGGAGGCATTATGTTTTCAGATTGTCCATCCATACAATCTGCCCTGTTGTGAATGTAATATCTCTGAAACGCCTTGAGGGAGTTTCTTCAAATTTGGAACAAATGGCCACTTGGACTCAAGTGGTTAGAGCTTGGTGGTTACAGGTCAAAGGTCAGTGTGACCCTCGCGTTCATCTCATTCCCATGAATTTGACTGGTTGGTCAAGGCATACAACCATGAAGCGATAATTCTAGTTTGCCTCAGATTTGAGATTAAACTATTATCAGCCTTCTCCTTGTACAGCGCTGTAAGAGCATCCAGTGCCATCGTTTGTATTATTTTATATCCACTATTGATGCTGCTACATATGAGAGCTCATTTGCTGTTCTCAACTTCATAACTACCTGAGCTTTTCTTCAGTTTGGAGTCTGGTACTCCACCGTCTTTAGGCTTTCGTTTAGGCATTC